TCAATATTTACGTAATTGAGTAACATAACTGTTATGTGAAACGTAACATTACGTTGTTACGTTGTTGAGACGAAAATTGAAACTTACATTTAAGTTACTTGTAACATCAACATAATTACGTGTTACGTTGAATTGTGTAACAGTAATGTAACAATAACATAACGGTGTTTAGTGGGTAATGTGGCACATTCAAACTCACGTTTAGTCACTAAAATCATTATCGCAGCCAGTAGAACATTGGGACATTTTGATAATTCATTTGGCAAGAAAGAAGCTGGATTTCGTAGAGCAACGAGATGGGCAAGACAAGATCAAAGATTGCATACTTTAAACGATGTCAACGTTAGCAGACTTTATAAAATTTCTAACTGACCGTTGTCACACATTAATGATGCTTAATCAAAACAAGTCAAAACTCACAAACACAAAACAGTCAATTCAAGGAAAAGAATCATTCAAGTGTAGATTCAGGAATTAATAAAAATCACAATATCATTCACCTTTAATTAGAACAATTTATTCAAAGTCGTTTCCTTTTACCCAGTTCCGGCTATGTCCCGCATGCAAGCCGTATATCTAATCAATCGCAATATCGCCGATCCTGATCCCCACTCTAGCGCTTCATATTGACAATTAGCCCGCCATCTGACGTGATTTACTTATTCTATCGATTGCTCGCATGTCGCAATGACGCTGGCGCCTACAGCTTGGCCAGTCTGACCTGAAGTTCATTCTGAACTGTTATTTCTTTAAAATTATATACATATATTTATTAGTGAGTTTAAACTTTAATTTCCAGTGGAGTCATCTGAGAAATTTTAAACTCGTATCCATGGTTTAATTTTATCAGATGACAGAATTGTATTCAAAGGTTTCTGTGATAAATTATATCCGGGTACATCTACAGTCACGTATCGATTTTTGTTTAATATCTTCTGAATTTGATAAGGTCCCCTGAACTTAGGTAATAATTTCTTACTCTTCACTCCCTGTTTATACTGAAAATCTAGATCATGACTAGATCCCTTCTTTGTATTGTGTAGGTCGTTTATGATGCAGATCGTATTTTACTTTATTATATTTTTGTACGACGCGATGAGCTCATTTAGCGGAATCTTTTAAATTATCTCGCTGCTTACATATATCCTCGTCTATTTTAGTCAAAGTTTCAATTAATTTACATAGTTCCTTATCCTGCCCGTTTCGTTGGTTATATCGAAGCATTAACTTACTTGGGCATTGATCGATCGATGAAAAGTATTGTTTACAATTCGTTGAACCGTATATAACGTTCTAGCCCCTATACTCGGTTGCTCGGTTATTTTAGCTAAGATCGATTTCAAAAACTTGTTTACGCGTTAGTAGTAATAGGGGTACTATGGCCCGTCAAAACAAACCCCCACCACGCCTCCCCGGCGCCGGCGAAAAATGCCCCCTCCATGCCCCTCTTTGGGGTCCCGGTCCCCGGGGAATTTGGGCCAGACACTTTTACAGACTGTGATTGGCTATCGCATGGGTGGAGGGTGGAGTTAGACGATAAACGAGACGATTTGA